ATATATATATATATATATATATATAAATATATATATATATATATATATATATATATATATATATATATATATATATATATATGTTTTAAATCATATTATTATTATTAATTTATAATTTGCCGAAAATTAAACTCTACCGTTTCAGAATTATAAGTTGAAATTAATATAAAGTCTGTGAAAGTCTTGTAATCTTTGAACCTTAACTGTGTTACTTAGTTATTTTTCATTGAGGCCAATTAAATTATAAGTCGTATAGTACGTGAGATGTTTGTTTACAATATCAACACATTTTTTGTTCTTGCAAAGAATGGGATGAAAGTCCTAACACATAATAAAAATAGATTTCATTATTTTCTCTGATAAATATAGAGTGTTCCAGGATATATTGATATTGTAGCATAAGTATCTTTCTGATTAGAATGCAGAATCAAACATCACTTTCTGTTTCAATCAAGATGTAAAATGTATAAATCTGAAAAAAAAAGCGATTCTTTTAAAGAAAAATATGCATCGGTCTTTTGAACACTAGTAGAGATTATCCCTTGTTTCCTGTTTAAAAATGTGTTTCAGGTTCTTTTTAAGACGCCTCATTCCATTTCACTCCTCGTTCCGTCTTACGGGTATCGCTTTATTTGGGGTGAATTGATTAAAAAAAATTATGGTATTGTTATTTTTATCATATTTAACAAACTTAATTCCAGTAAAAAAATAATATTTGTTCGAATCACGTGAAACATACACTAACAATTTATACAGATAAAATTATTTGAGCAAAGAATTCTCCACAAGATGCAGAATGGTCATTTAAAACTGTTACCCGCTCTATTTAGATTATTTTTCATAAATGCTGTTATTGTTCTATTTGCGATTCTGATATATATCTTCTTTGCGGTTTCTTAAATGTTACGGTTTTAATTTGGAATAATTAAGATATCCTACAAAACCAAACTTTTCTCTTGGTCGTGGAAAGAAAAAGGAGATATGTCATAGTTATTCGTTCGAAATTAAATTAGAGAACGTTCTAAATTAGTTGAAAATCTCTCGACGTCAAGGAAAGGCAAACAATGCTACTTTTTAACAAAGTTCTTATTCTTACTCTACACATTTCTGACCATAGCTCAATTAGATCTCATACATGGACATCTACCGGACACTATTCGTAGCATAACTGTTGACAATACTAATATCATGTACATGCAAACAAGCTAGAAATAATGGAAGACATATTCATAAAAAAAAAAAACAACACTTAATAATATTAACTATGAACATGGACACAATATCTTGACCGTGTTTTGAAAAATGAAAACATTTTACAAAAGATACAAGCAACACACTATTTCTTATTTAACAGTTAAAATATTCAATCCTTGAAATTGGCTAAATGTACAGCCGAAAGCGCTCGGATAAAAAGAACATTCGGACAGTTTTTATATAATTTATCATCTGAAAAGAAAAACATTATCAGATCGCATGAGAATTTTTATAAAAATCTAAATAAAAGCATCTATTTTGTCGTATTCAATGAAATGTGCATGAAAGTAGGATTGCTGCCTAAATACACACACACACACACACACACACACACATATATATATACATACACACACACACACACACACACACATATATATATATATATATATATATATATATCAAGGAGTGATGGAGTTTTATTTATTAATTCAACAGATTTTTTTACTTAAACGTTATATTTTGGTAGCATATTTTCTTTTAAGCATGTTTGATTAAACATTTTAGACATGTTGAGTTTGTTTAATTTTAATAAGATATTTCGTTGTCACGTATAAACTTTATTGTTTTCTGATTGAAGAGACCATAGAAAGGTAACATGGTTGTAGTCATTCGTTTTATTTTTTCGAGTACTTGCCATATATTCCAGTGTCATCTCCAGGCAAAGACGAACAATTGTGTTTGTCCGAAGTAAATGTTTGCTTTTGTACTTAAACCGTTAAGAGTTCCAGTCATGTGCAAAGTCACCAAGGGTGAGTTTAAAAATTTTTCCATATTGTAAACATTTTTAATGTAAGTCACATAACTTAGATAAGAATTGAATTCTTGTTAGTAGGTTATAGTTTGCTTCTTTAAAGAAAAGTGATTAGTTTTAATGTAGATATTTCTAAAGATCTATATACTTAAGCATTTCAGAACATTTGTACTCTAGTCATAATTAATTTTGTAAAGTGTTGGGTTCATTTTTTTTAATAAAATGGCTTTGAAAATTTGTAGTTTCTGCTTATTTCGTTCTAATAATATATATATATATATATATATATATATATATATGTGTGTGTGTGTGTGTGTGTGTGTGTGTGTGTGTGTGTGTGTAATATTTATTTATCATTTAAGCATTAATATCAATTATTGATGTAAAAAACAAAATACAATTTTCCCAGCACAAAAAAATGCAAATTTGAACGCCCAAAATTAAAAAAAAAACAGTGGCATATCTACTGAATGTAATGACTCGACACATATGGTAATTGTAGAAAGGAAAAAGAATAAAGGAAAATGCAAAAAAACTAAAGAACGAGTGTAAAGTGAAAAAAACAAACAAACAAAAGGGATATGATCACGATACTCAACACGTACACACATCCGCGCAGACAGGAATACGATTGTGAACGCACATCCGCATGAACATGAACAATACGAAAAAAGCACCAACGATCAGTGCATAAAAAGAAAAAAATCGAAAAATATAAGCAGTCAGTAAAGAGTAGACGGACAGGTCCGTCTAAGAAACTCAGGAGTTGGGATGCTGAAGGTCAAACATCAATCAGTTAAATATGGCAAATATATATATATATATATATATATATATATATATATATATATATATATATATATATAATAATTATTTATTTAAAAATATGATTCCATCGCTACGTAAGAGTTCTCATGTTTCAAAACAAAAGCCGAAAACTTCAATATAATTATTTGAATTAAATTGAATTAAATATTTATTATTTGAATTAGATTGAATTAAAGTACCAAAATCTGTTATATATATATATATATATATATATATATATATATATATATATATATATATATATAGGGAAATAAACAGGCAGAGAGATTTTCCTGATTTCTGGTCTTCGGATCTGATAAAGTACTTTGATTTAGAGCCACATCTTTTCCTCCGATATCCCAATACTTTTCATTGCCCACAGTTTTGTCTTTCATTCTGACCTACATTTTCGAGGAAACGCGTTGTTTATATTCAATTTTGTTTCTATTATCATTATACATATTAACGTCAAACACACATACATATATTTGGAAAAAAATATTACAAACTAGGAAGTTTTTTTGACGCGTTTCTTCTGTTAGGATTGCATCGGACTGGGCGTTATTGACGTTGCCACGTCTACAAATGCGAACGAAACGAAAGATGCTGGTAATTTGAAAATTTTTGAAAGAAATATTTTTGAAAGAATTTTTTTTTCTCATTCTTGCCAAATTCATCTGTATTCTTTTCTCTCTCACACCTTTATCCCTGACTATCCCACACTATAATATAAAATCTACTAAGAAAGCTGATATGCTGTGTGTGTGTGTTTGTGTGTGTGTGTTCCTGTGCGTTTGTGAGTATGGTTTGTTGATTAATATTAGTTTTAAAAGGAACAGCGTCGACTATAATCATAAAAGCTTTGGTTCAAGTAGTTTCACTTCTTGGCCCTAATCGATTGTGTGTTTTCTACCTTGTCGAAAATATCAGATGAGGTTTTGGATGAAATTCATGAATGAATGACTGATCCCACACTTTAATGTATTGGCGATACAGGGTCACATACTGTCTCTCTTTCTCCTCGGTGATGTTTACAAGATATCACAATCGTCATCAATCAGAAATAAATCGAGGGAAAATAAAATCAATATTAAATTAAATGAAAAACATTCCGCTTATTTGCAACATTTCTGCTCTGCTTTGTGATTTAAGAAAAAAATATTTCGGACGTTTAAAAAAAGTTCGTCTTATGCCGTCAAATTTGGTTCATTTTCAATTACCTTCTTTTTCTTTATCTTTCCGTAATTTTCTTTATTAGTTTTGACTCTCAAATTGTTTTTGCTTTTATTTCTTTTTCATTTTCTAATACAGTCTGATTTCGGGTTTATTTTAGTCCCCTTTTAGTGTAAATTTATTTTTATTTTTTCTTCTGCCATTCAATTTTTGTTTAAATTTGACGCCATATTTATTCGTTCTTTTACCTGTTTTTTTCTTCTCTCACTTTCATTCTTTTAGTTTGTGCAATTAGTTCATTGGCTCGTCGATGAATACAAGAATAAAATAAATGTTTAAAAAGTGATAACTATACAACATCACTGAAATTTCTCTTCCGTTGCACGTTAATTTTTGATCAAATTATCGTATTTGTTTTTCTTAAGATTTAAAGAAATATAAAGAAAGATTTTTTCCAGTCTGGTTTAAAAGTGCTCCTTGAAGTTTTTTGTCTTCCTTCAGGTGACCTGATATTAACATTAGAAAGTGCTTACAATATAATACGCCAGTTGTATCTGTATATATTGGAGTTTTTAAATGCAACTTTTATTCTCACCACTGGAAAGGAGACAACGAGATTTTATTCCTTGCTTTTTGCTCTGTCAGGCTTCAATAACTTTATTAAGATAATAGCCATCAGTATTTAAAAATCATGTATATATATATATATATATATATAATTGTCCATAGTTTGTTATTATTCCAAGTGATTTCGGCTACTTCTATATCTATTATCAAGGATATTGTTTTGGTATGGTCAGTTTCATCTGTTGTCTTCTACATAGTAGAATAGCTGTGTGGAGATCTGCATAGGAGTTTGTAAATTTTTCGGTGATCACATGTTATGCGTGATTGGTTGACTTGGCATCACTTCTATTTTTCGAAAATATTTATCTCGAACGCACCACTACACCCTTAAGTAGACGCCTTACATGCCACCTCTCGAAGCAGCGTGCGATTAATAAACATTTAT